CAAAATAAATAATTATTATCTTTATAAAAAATTATATTATTAAACCAAATATAAATTAATTCGTTATTGTACATAAATTAAATTATAAAAAAATTGAATTAAAAAATTACACAAAAAAATGAAGAATTTCAAAAAGTTAGTTTGATACTAATATCAATATATTTTTGTCAAATTTTTATGATATCTTCAAACATATATTTTATTCAAAAATAAAATATCATCGCTTTCTCAAAATCACATAAAGTCATATTATAACATCGACTGAGATAAATAATAAAATGAAATATTAAAATCACGATGTATCTCACTGCATTGCGCGAGTACGCTTCTAGTTAAATATATTATTTTTTTTCTCCTTCACATTCAACTTCAATAACTTTAATTGGTTGAATATAATTATAATATTATTTCTTTTATTCTATATGATTTTAGAGATTTCTCGAAATTCAGAGATTTTTACAATCTCTCTCATCTTTTCTCTATTTTAGCATAACTGTTGGAGTAACAAAAATTTTAAAATCACTTTTTTCTTCATTTTAGCGTAGTTGTTGAAGATGCTCTGATTAGTCATTTTTATCTTGATGAGCATTAATTATGGACATTATCATATTAATTTTAAAAAAACAAATTTTATCAAAATGAGTAATACATGAAACAATGTGTACATAAAAACAAAAAATATACTAAATATTCCATCAATAAAATAATTATATGAAACAATTTCATGAACCAATTTCATTAGATTAAGCAATAACTATTTTTATTCGAACAAATCGTGTAAATCCAAATCAAACAATCAATTTTTGTTCAAGGGCAAGCTTGTCATTTTGCATGTTGTAATTATGGAAAACATGAAACTCCTATTATTTTGAAGGATAAATTCTATAACATATTTTAAATTTATTATGATAAATAGTAAAACTCGTTTTTTTTTTTTTAATGTTTTTTTTCCAGAATTTTCTGAATTTAAGTACGATCTTGTCGATTAATATTTTCCGGTTTTAAGAACTTTTTGAATGTCTCAGAAAAAAAATTGTTTCACATAATATATTTGTTTCTTATAATCAAACGATGTCACTGTTTGAAAAAAAAAAATTTGGTCCGTCCTTACACCAACACCTCCCTTGATGAAATCCCAATAAAATCATTAGTTTGTTTAAAAAATGTACATCTTCTAAAATTAAACGTTTACAAATACATAATATTAAGAGATTGTTTGGCAGTTCTTAAATGGTTTGATGCTGAATGTTTAAGTGGTTATAATGATTAAAAGTTTTTGATGATATAGTGTAAAATGAAATATAATTACTTGATAATTGTTTACAATGAAATTAAGGCGTTGAATGGTTAAGAGATGGTCAGAACACAAAATCATTCAGAGAGTTTTAAAACTATTAAGATATTTTTTTTTTTTTGTAAAAAAGATTAACCTCTTAACAATTCAATATTTGATTCTTAATGAAACTATTAAAAGATAAACCAACAACCCCTAAATTTTATCATTTTCACATAAATCACGATTTCACCCCATTTCTTTATCTACGGTGATTTATCACGTCTAAACGGTCGGGATTGGTTTTCACGTGTTCGTCATGATACAAATGACCAATTGCTTCTTCCAGAACCTAAATTACTAATTCCAGAAAAACACTGCTTTAATGACTTGTACCTTGCTCAATTCCAATAACATAAACCTTGTATAAATATCTTACTTCTTACGTCTGTACACTTACATTTCTACCTGCTTTTGCTTCATCTGAAGCTCCATCAGCAAAAATGGCTGGAACTCATCTCTCTATCTTCAGAACAAATCTCAGCCGTCCATCCACCTCGCCGGCTCCGTCCTCTCACCATAGATCGCCGATCACCGCCCGTGTGGCCCAAAACCTATCTTACTGGGATTCCATACATTCCGATATCGATTCCCACTTAAAAAAATCCATCCAAATCCGTCAACCCACCACCGTTTTCGAGCCAATGCACCACTTGACATTTTCAGCACCGAAAACCGCCGCCTCCGCCCTGTGCGTCGCCGCCTGTGAGCTCGTAGGCGGCGTCCGGGAAGATGCTATTGTAGCAGCGTCGGCAATACATCTGGTGCATGCGGCTGCATACACTCATGACCATCTTCGGTTAACTACCGACCGAGTCTGGTCGGATCCCAGACCGGAAATACCGCACCTGTATGGTTCGAACATTGAGCTTCTAACCGGCGATGGAATTATGCCGTTTGCGTTTGAGTTACTGGCTCAGTCCATGGACCCCGCCGGAAAAAACTCCGACGAGCTGTTAAGGGTGATCATTGAGATCACGCGAGCCGTGGGTGCTGAAGGGATGGTTGCCGGTGAAGGTTATGAAGTTGAGTTTGACCTGTTGAATAGTCAACCGGCACGGCGGCTCCATGGATGTGGGGCGGCCTGTGGGGCCATATTAGGAGGTGGCAACGAGGAGGAGATTGGAAGGTTGAAAAGATGCGGTGAATATGTGGGTAAAATACAAGGGTTGTTAAGTCAAATGGATAAAGTTGAAGGGGGTAAATTGGAATTAGTTGAAAAATGGAGGGGCTTGGCTCTAAAGGAGTTGGAATATTTTGATAGTAGAAAAATTGAGCAAATTTCCACCATCTTTGGGGTTTAAAATTTCCTTTATTACGATTGATGTATGTATCATGTTTATGTATATGTTTGATGCATGAAATAATAATTAGAAAATGAATGGTTTGATTTTTAAATGTTTTTATTTGGGTGAAATTGCATGAAAAAATAGCGTACTTTAACTTGATTCTTATTTCTAAAACTTCCATTTTGAACCCTAAATTGCAAAGTTTTTAACATGTAAGTATTCAGGTAACCGATTGAAGTATTAACCGGTTACCATGTTGATGCATGGACGGACCTACAGTGGTGCCAACGTATTATTTCTCCGTCGAATGATACAAATATTTAGGTTCGTGAAAAGTTCAACCGTATTAATTTGTTGTGTGTCATCGTATGTATTATGAAACTACAATGTGAACAAATTTTCTTTGATATAGTTGGTTTGCAAGGCTTTTATTTAACCCCAGACTTGAGTTTGAATCTTGTTAGTGCCATTTAATTAGTCAAATGGTGGCATAGTTTGAAATTTTTTCCCTATATTTGTTTTTTATAGTCAAATGGTGTCACCATTTAAAAAAAATCTGGGTCCATCCCTGTGTTGATGTGGTGAGTGATGTGGTATCCGGTTAATGCTTCAGCAATTAATACTGAGCTCGATACCACATCAATCGCCACATCAACATGATAACCGGTTAATGTTTCAACTAGTTACCCGGGTACTTAAATATTTAAAATTTTACATATTCGGTACCAAAATGAAAGTTTTTGAAGTATTTTACCCGAAACAGGAATCAAGTTAAAGTACGTTACTTTTTCATGCAATTTGCCCTTTTATTTAAACAAAAGTTATTTTTTTGCAATTCTAATCAGCCTCATATGATATTTGTTTTCAATAATATCAGTATAAGCAGTCTTTATTTAAAGTAAAGCAAACGAAGATTATATCACTTTTGAGAAACAAATATTAGATTCGTTCGAAAACTTAAATCAAATAGTCCAGACACTCGTTATCCATAGATAATAATCTCAATCACATATGATTTTGATATTTCTAGGAATCCATCGTTATTCCTTTCCTCCACCGAGAAAGGTTCATTATGTAGGAGGGTAGGGTCAGTGGTGGACTTAGAGTATTTCTAAGAACATTTTTAATATATTATATAGGTACTCGCACAATGCAGAAAAATAAAATATTGATTTAATAAATATGAAATATCATAAAATTAAAAAAAAAAATATATATATTGATATTAGTACCAAATTAAATATTCAAAATTTCTCATTTTTTTTGTGTAATTTCTTTAATTCATTTTTATGTTTGGTTTAATAATATATTTATTTTATAAATATAAAAATCAATTATTTTGTTAGAACTAAATGATTATCCTCGGTATATTTCAGATTTTTTATATTTAAAATAAAATGTTTATCATATATTTATGTTTGTTTGCAGTTAATTACACAAATTTAAACATGGAGCTTTAATAAGTTATAGTTACATACAATTTACTTGTAATATTTAATTTTAAGTAATATGCATCAAAAAACAGTATTTCATACATAAAAAATAGTTTCTAAAAGTTTTTATCAAATACTATATAATATAGTATAGACACTCTGAAATTGAATTTTTATATTATATATTTCCTACCAATAAAAAATAATAAAATTAAATATTTAAAGATAGAAAATATTTTAATAATATAATTAATATCGAATTAGATTCGTTTTAGATTGTGTAGGTGGATGTAATAGAAATTAATTTTAAATAAAAGCATCGCTAATAAATTATTTGAAATAAAAAAATTAAAAGTTAAAATTATCAAAAAAGAAAAAAAAATGTTAATCTCTAGCACTTCTCCGGTTTATAGATTACAATATCAATTATATTATTAAAATATTAAATAAGGTTTATAAAATTTTATTTTTCTCTTCTGCATCATTTAGTTTCAATGATACTAATTAAGGGTGCTCAAAAACCCGACTAAACCGATCAACTCAACTCAACCCAATATGAAATAACTCGATCCGATGTCTAATCGAGTTGTAAATTTTTCAAATATGGGTATTGAGTTGAAATTGGGTTACTATTATTTGAACTTAACTCAACCTGATGAACCCGATATCCTTGTATTTATTGGATTTAATATTATTGTTCAGTTTATATTAATATATATATATATATATATATTTATAAAACAATTACACTATCACGTACTTTCTTCATATACACATATTTTCAATCTATTATCCATCTCTATATAACTCATTCGTATATATGTTCACTAACTCTGAACATATATTTGTAAATTGAGAAAATTATTAGAATGTGATAATCGTACGATTTAAGAAGTATGAATAAGTTGTAGATAAAATTCATTATGTGAGGTATGACTATGAAAAGAGGCACCAGATATAGGGTGTATAAATCAATGATTGTTTGGACGCACCGATTGGTCCTTGAAGCAGCTCCCTCTCGCCCAGATTGATGATCAAATTGTTGATGATGAAAAATAAATCATGAGTAGAGAAATAACATATCCAACTCAGTATTATTTGCTGACATGAATATTTTAATTTAAAATTAGTTTTTATGTATTGTGGTTTATTAAAATAAAGAGTTAATGTTTCAACTGATTATTTGAGTACTTAACTGTTTAAAAAGTTAAAAAAGCTAAAAATTTGTTGTCAACAACAATTAAACTGATGACTTAAAAGACAAATAAAACCTCAAATTTTGTTTTAAAAACATATAAGAACACACTGTAAAATTAATATATAAGACTTGGAATCATGTGAGACAAAAATGTTTTCGTGATAAACAATTTTTACGTTTGAAACTTCACAACAAACATTATGAAGGTATTCTTCATAGTGTTTTTGCTGTAAAGGTTCGACTTTTTTTTACCTTCATAATATTTTGTTATAAAATTTTAAATATACAAAAATCATGTCACACATGTCTCACGAAAACAAGTGTATCTCACGTGAATAACTCTAATATCTAAATATTGAAGTTTTAAAGACCAATGTAAACATAGAAGCTTGAACTTCCTTTGGAAAAAAGTTGCATTTTAATTATTATCCTTGTCGACTTGTCTTTTTCGTCGATCTACGGTCATTTCTCACATTTGAACGGTCCAGATTTGTTGTCACGTGTTCCTCACGATTGAAATGACCAATTGCTTTTTCCAGAACCTAAGTTACTAATTCCAGAAAAACACATGTTTACAATTGATTATTTGAAATAATTTATGAATTTTTTATAAAAGTTTTTATTAATTTATTATAAGTTATAATGAGAATTTTTATATATTTTTTAATTTTTATGATATATTCAAATTTATATTTTATTAAGAAAAACATTATTGTTTGTTCATAATCATATAAATTCGTATTATAACATTGATAGAGACAAAAAATAAAATGAAATATTGAAATCAAGATATATCTCGATACATTGTGTGAGTACCCTTCTAGTATATGTATGTGTGTGTATATATATATATATATATATATATATATATATAAGGTATATTTCAAATGCAACCATGTCTATTTGTACAACCAATCAATTATGATATTTATATAAATGATCAAAGGTCATTTATTATGATTTAAATATTATGGAACATGACCAGAGTTTATTAATTATCAATATTTTATATTAGAAAATAATCAAAACTTTTATGAAATCACATATTTATCAAATTAAATGTACGGTTAAGATTGAGTTATATATTTATCATTAATTTAATTCAATATAAAAGATTCTTGTAATATTATTGATTTGTTGACATTTTGACTTGTTTGAACTTTGAATTCCATGCTTCATTGTGTTGTTGAATGCCGGTGGCTAAAGGATTAATATCATTTTAAATTTGAATTATTGTCCTTGATATTATTTGAATCTCAATTTTATTTTATTTTTATTTATTACAAGTACTATATTTGTTCATATGGGTGTAAATGATATGATACAACTCGCGAGCTATTCAAGATCAATTCAGTCAACACTTGACTTGAATAGGCTCGACTCGACATATTAATGAGTCGAGTCGAGCTACCCAATACTCGACTAGAAAAACTCGTGAAATACTCGGGTTTTTTTATATATAATTAGTTTTAGAATATAATCAATTTTACAATATAATTCGTAAAGTGTAATGTAATAAAAATGTCATATATTTTTAGATATTTGAACAAATTGTGCATTTTTTAACTACAAAAACTAATCATTACTTTATTATTAAAATCATAATTAAAAAATACAAAAAGCTATAGAATTGTTGGTAAAGTTGTTCAAAGAGAAATAGTAAAAGAAGAGTGAATATGTGTTATAAAAAGAAAGGGAGATGAATGCACTTTATAACTTTATCTTTTTGAAGATAAAGTTTGAGGTATGGATGCTTATGGGTTGGGTTGGGTTGGGTTGATCGGGTTGATGATATTTGAACAACCCAACCCAATGCTTACGGTTTGGAAAAATCTTAACCCAACTCAACCCAAACCAAACCAAAGTGCAACCTAACCCAACTCAATCCGTACGGGTTGGTCGGGTTGATACTTTGTTATATTAAAATATTCTTTTAACCTTGAATATGTTATTTCTCTACTCATAATTTCTTTTTCATCATCAACCATTTGATACAACTTATTCATATTTCTTACGTATATCACATTCAGTTAATTTTCTCAATTTACATATATATGTTCACAGTCACTGAATGAGTTATATAGAGATATGAATATATTGAAAATATATGTATATGAAAAACATACATGATAGTGTAATTGTCTAATGTATATATTAATAAAAATTCAACAATCATATTAAATCTAAGAAATAAAATGATATCAGGTTCATCGGGTTGGGTTTGATTCAAATAATAGTAACCCAATATCAACCCAATACCTATGGTTTGACAATTTTACAACTCGATTAGACATCGGGTTGCTTCGGGTTAGGTTATTTCGCATTGGGTTGGGTTGATCGGGTTGGTTGGGTTAGTCAGGGTTTTTGAGCACCCCTAGTTTGAGGTGCATCCCTTTAGTTTTATAAAATTTAAAAGAACACCTTTAAGTTTGTAATTTTAAGAGAAG